GTTCAGCAGTTTGCATCTCAGATTAGCGTAGAAGGGAAAGGTTGAGTTAAAAAGGAACCTCATATAGCAAAAAAACAAACAAAAAAAACTCAGTATTTGACAGTCTCGAGGTGTGTTCACAGTGAAATTTAGACAAATTGTTGTTGGCAAAAAAAGGTTAATTGTTAATAGCATAGCAATGCATGATCCTCATATAGAAGTTACTTTCAAACCAAGCAGCTTTTTGTTGGTCAGTGTGGCAAATCTGTGTGACCAACTAACCTGTTGTGAAATCTGCTTGGGATTCTTCGCCCTCATGTGAAATTCCCATTTAGGTGGATTCTTTTTTAAATAACTGGATTTCGTTGAATAATGCTAAAATTGACTACACCTATCATGCAGAAAAGGCCTCTGTGAGTCAATCTACTATTAGCATCTTAAACATGTTTACTACATACTGAGGTCAAACTACCGGTCACACTGAGAAAAAAGACCAGGGGCCTCATGTATAAAACTTTACATAGATTTCATCTTAAATGTGTGCGTACGCACAAAAGCTAGATTTTGCGTACGTACAAAAGTTTTCAGATTTATAAAGCCATGCGTACGGCAGAACCTGCATAAAATTCCCTTTGTAATACCCAGTCAGCGGAAGATTGTGCGTACATGAATCTCCACCCCGTCTCCTCCCTGAAATAGCCATATGTGGAGCTTACAACGCCTAGTTGTCAAATTTCAGTGCTTAACTTCATTGAGAGCGTCATAAATGTATATGTCAAATGTAAAACAGACTTTAAAATCATTCTGTTTGCTTTATTTCGCTCACTCCAGTAATAGAGTGCGTACGCATGGTCTAGAGCAGGGGTGCCCAAAAATGTGAGGGGTGTACTCACTTCTGTGAGATACTGTGTGTGTGTGTGTGTGTGTGTGTGTGTGTGTATATATATTAATATGATTAAATTGCCAAGGTGTCTGTAAAGGGTTGCATGTTTTTAATTTTTGTATTCAAATCCATTGTGATATTTTTGGGGGACACAGATGTCAGGATAACTGCCCTAATATCTTAGTGAAGAAGCTTTTTTTTATTTTTTCCCCAATAGAAATCTTGAAAGGAACATGTAATTTAGCATGATTGTTTTGCAAAAAAAAAAAAAAAGCTGCTGAATTAATGACAGTTTTTCAAAACCGTGTGAAACCATGAATAGAAAGAATACATTAAGAATTTTAAACTGGATTCTAAGTTGTTGTTTTTTTATCTTTTGTACTTGAAGAATTGAGAAAGTTAAAATACATGCAGTTTTCTCATTTGTGATTGTGATTTGCAGGCAGCTAGATGTATCGTTCAACTTATTGAGGAAGATTGAGGGATTGGAGTGTCTCACAAAAATCAAGAAGCTCTTCTTGCTTCATAATAAGATTACAAGCATTGCCAACCTTGATCAACTGACGAGCCTCCAGATGCTTGAACTGGGGTCTAACCGCATCAGGGTGAGACATCCAAGACCACATCTGCTCTTTGTGTTACATATTCTTCTTTGCTTACCGTTTAACATTTCTCTGTGTCCTGGCTTGAATTTTATGTATGCTTATGTTATGTAAATTTTAGGTTATTGAGAATCTGGATTCTCTTACTACTTTGGAGAGTTTGTTCCTTGGCACGAATAAAATCACTCGGCTACAGAACCTCGATGGATTGCACAGTCTGACGGTTCTCAGTATCCAGGTGCGTTTGTGCTGGAAAGGTTTTTTTTTTAAAGACAAATTTGCCTTCTCTGTTGGGTGTTAACATCTATTCCTGTCTGACAGAGTAACCGCATCACGAAGTTGGAAGGAATGCAGAATCTTGGGAATCTGCGAGAGCTTTACTTGAGTCATAATGGCATTGAAGTCATTGAGGGCCTGGAGAACAATGTAAGATCTACCATGGTTGCCTACAGATGCCATACTTTTTCCTGCCAATTCTAAATTTATGCATAGAATGTTGGCACAAAATATATGTGCCTTAAAGGTGACATATCAATGAAAACCTGACTTTTCCAGGTTTTAAGTGCTATAATCAGGTCCCCGGTGCATCTACCAACCAAGGAAACGTGAAAAAGATTAACCCAATAACCGTTTTGGTAAGCCTTTTTCTGCAAGCGTCTGAGAAAACGAGAGCGTCAGATTTCGCTCCCTTGGTGACGTGGCAAAGGGATCTCATTATAATATTACCGCCCCTTAATTTGCACGTTTCTACCCATGGCGCCATCATTTTGATTTTGCAAGCGACAATGGTGTAATGCCATGCCGAAAGTTTGAGCAAAACATGCTAACTAGTGCTGGGCGGTATGACCAAAAATTTATATCATGGTATTTTTCTAAATTATACCGGTTTCATGGTACATGACGGTATTTTTTTTTACGCATGACCGGGTGTTGACCATATTTTCTACTGATTGAGAGAGGAAATACTGCAGTATATTGACTTAGAATGCCCTATTTTACTGTCATGATGAGTGAATATTGTCAAAAAATACCACACTAAATAGTGACTAAACACGACCCCTTTTAATATGTGTTAGCCAGGAGTCACTCTCATTTATAATCGCGGCATCGTCTGATAAAATCAACATGCATCTACACTAAAGAGCGGCTATGCCGTTGTCCATCACGTTCTATTAGTTCTACAGCTTCAGTTTCGGAACTTTCACGCTTAGTAACACATACAGCTGTGTCCTCACCACAGTGCAACAGTGAAAATGGACCCCTCTCAAACAGTGTCGCATTCCGAACGTTGTTTAAGCGACATACTATTGCAGTATTTAAAAAATTCATATCATAACAAAAATAAACACCGGCATTCGGTATGAACCGGTATACCTCCCAGCACTGATGCTAACTGTTCTGCCTTTGGCTGCATGGACGAGCACAGAACACTATTTAGAGACCCAGCCTCAGAGGAGACAAGAGAGCAGTGGATTTATTGATTTATTTAATGTATATTGCTGCTGCCACACAGATCTAAAATAAACATGTGATTTATTTCCCAGCTGTTTACCTTAACAGACATAACCGACTGTTTTTGTAACTTGTGTGTTTTTAACGTAAACTTGTGTGTGAATGAGAACTTAGTTTAGTACTTGCATGCTATGACAGCCGCTTTCTGTCCATGTCCTTCGGTTGTGTGCGCTCAGAAAACCGTATATCAGAAGTTTAAACTAATATGGTTTAAAATGCATGATTTCAGCGCAATAAACATGATAATCAGAACCAAAACAGATGTTTTTAGCAGGTTGGAGCTGTAATGGCGCAGCTCTATTCTGGAAAAGGGGGCGGGGAGCAGCAGCTAATTTGCATTTAAAGAGACAGGCCCGAAAAAAGTGTGTTTCTGCTTCCACTCAAAATAGGCATTTTCAAAATGATATAATAAAAGATCTGTGGGGTGTTTTGAGCTGAAACTTCACAGACACATTCTGGGGACACCAGAGACTTGTATTACATATTGTAAAAAGGGGCCTAATATGTCTCCTTTAAATCTTGTTAAATATCTGTAGCAAAATTGCAAGATAAAGAAACCATCATAAAATGCATGTTAAGAAGCTGTCAGGCTAGAATCTGGTAGTTTTGTGTGTAATATTCACGTTTCTCCAGCCATTCTGACGTTCTCTGCCTCTCCACTGCACCTTTACTCCATGGGGGATGTCTGTGTTCTGATCTGTCGTCACATCCGTGGTTTTATTTTTATCCGCCCCAGAATATTTTCGTGCTAGAATATACATATCTTTCATCTTTCTTCCCTTTCTTTTTTAGAAAAAGCTGACAACTTTGGATATCGCTGCGAACAGGATAAAAAAGATTGAAAATATCAGCCATTTGACTGAATTAAAAGAATTTTGGGTAAGAAAAAAAAAAGACAGGTTAACTGTTTGTATATTTTATGGCACACTACATGGAGATTTTAAAAACCTTTTCAGAAGTTTGGGGTCAGTAAGGTTTTTTTAATCGGTCACTTTATTTTAAGGTCCAATTCTCACTATAAACCATTAACTATGACTTTTGCCTCAAACTCAAAATTTGCTGCTTATTATTAGTTAGTAAGGTAGTTGTTAAGTTTAGGTATTGGGTAGGATTAGGGATGTAGAATATGGTAATGCAGAATATGTGCTTTATAAATACTAATAAACAGCCAATATGTTAATAAGCATGCTAATAAGCAACTAGTTAATAGTGAGAATTGGTCCCTATACTAAAGTGTTACCTTTTAATCTTCTAAGTCCCTTATGCTCCACAAGGCTACATTTATTTGATCAAAAATAGTTAAAAACAGTAATACTATGAAATATGATTACTGTTTTAAATAACTGTTTTCTGTTTTAAAGGAGTCATGAAGTGGAGAATCAAAATGTTCTTGATATTTACACATAAAACACACGTTTAAGAACTCAAAACTAACTCCCCAGTTTAAATGATCTAATTCTTCTCTGCCCTTCTGAAGCTCAGATTTGATTGGGAGAATTGTGACGTCATGATCGTCATATAAAATCAAGGAGGGAGGTGTGATCTTAACCTCATGTCTGTCCATCGATCACAAGATCAATACTGCTGCTGGGTAACGATGTTGAGTACAACGACAAACTCAAACGTTGTTCTGTCAGTGGATGTAAAGAAACTGCACTTCCAAAACTTTGCATAGCCTTCCCTAAAGATCCGATCATAAGAAATGCATGGCTGAAATTAATTTTTAATGACGTGTCTGAGCAACTGAAGTTTCTTCTGCCTCTGTATCTGCCAACTGCATTTCATGACCCCTTTAATACATCTTAAAATATGATTTATTCCTGTGATGGCAAAGCTTAATTTTCAGCATCATTACTCCAGTGTCACATGATCATTCTAATATGCTGATTTGCTGAACAAGTAACAGTTATCAATTATTATCAATGTTAAAAACAGCATTTATTAGAAATAGAAATCTTTTGTACTGCGATAAATGTCTTTACTTAAAATTTAATGCATGTTTGCTGAATAAAAGTTTTTTTCTTTTGAATGGTAGTATATGTAAAAATCTTACTTTGGAGTATCAATGCTTATTTTTTATTTTAATAACATCTAAAAAATGACAAAGCATTGTTAAAAAGCTATTTTTTTTGTTCTTCCTTATACAGATGAATGACAACCAAATTGATAACTGGGCAGACTTGGACGAACTCAAAAACGCCAAAGGTCTAGAGACTGTCTATCTGGAGAGAAACCCTTTGCAGAAGGACCCTCAATACAGACGCAAGATCATGTTGGCTCTTCCCAGTGTCAGGCAGATAGATGCCACCTTCATCCGTTTCTGATCATCCACCTCATTGTGCCCTCCCTCACCCAAACCATCTACAGCATATTATAAACGCACCACTACCATATTACCCTCATGCACCTCATGGACACCGTATGCCCTATTTATCTCTTTTATTTACTTTTTAACAACAAAAAAGAAGAATCTCCCACTCCCAGTGTTGCCATTCCACGTGCTGGCACCTTTTACTCACACAGAGACTATGACTTGCGCTATAGTGTGAATGCTTGTTAATTTATTTTCAGTTTGAACTCAAAGGAGCTGGCGCCTGTTGTTCGGAATATATATCAGCGCTAAATCTTACTGCCCTTAGCATTTCGGTTAGGAAATAATTTCATCATAGTTACCCCTTCTCTCTTCCATCAATTGAAAATCAGAAATTTCCACCCTGTATGATTTACATCAGGCTTAATTACTATACGAGCTGGTAAAAAGGTCAGCGTTCACGTTGCATTCAGGTACTAAAGATGGCTATGAGGAGCTTCTTATTCTTTGATGTGATCAGGGACTGTTTCCGTGAGTGTTATGCTCTTATGGATTCTGTTTGCATATCAGTTCTGTTTCTGGTTGTAGCAATATGGCTGGTTGAAATGACATGACGCATATTGTTCACTCTTCATTAATGCTGAATATTATTAGAGATTAATTCCATTATAAACTAAGGTTATGCCACACAATCTTAAGTGATTTTAGGGATGCAACAGAGCAAGGTGATGTCAGGGGATTAGTATTTTTTTTATTACTTTTTTTTTTGCACTCAAAATATTCACACAGAAGCACCTCATGTTATAGTATGATCTGCGGAGTTGTTTTCTTCCCCCGCAATAGGAGGTGAATGGAAGAGGCCACAGTGTGGTGACTGTGTTTGGTCACTCCCATTTGCCATGAGGGAGGGGGGTCGGAGGGGTTTCTTTATGGAATGAACCCAGTCCCTTTAAAAGGGTTAAAGAACAACTGAATCGGATTGCTTTTAATTTGCTTGAATTTTCACTTTGTTTTACAAGCTTGGTTGACTGTTTCAGAATTGAATGTATTATAAATAAACTGAATTTGAACAATGCTCACCCTTATGGTGTTTGTTTTGTATTTAAGGCATGCAGGTAACCTCTGATTTCACAATGCAACCTGTTTCACATAAATATTAATATGTAAATACCGCATTAGTGGATGCTGCTGAAAACAGCAATGTTGGGAAGGCCAAGATCCTAATGGAAATGTTTAAAGAAAGTATATTCTCAGTAACAGCATTCATAAATACCAGATACATCTTGTGCATGATTTTGATTGACACTGAGACTTCTAAGCTTTTAATAAAAACTGACACTATAAAATGGTCTGAATAGAAAAGGTCGTGCATGAGTCGTATTCAAATCAAATATTTGTCATTAAATCATGTTATATAACAGCAATTGTTTGTATATTCATTTCTTTCAGTATACAAGTACTACAGCACAATATATTTTACATATATCTATTGTATCATTTACTACTTCTAGCCCATATAACCCTAAAGTGAGCTTGTATGGCACATTAAATAATTGCAGTATGCAAAATTTACATTAGATAATTCACGAATCACAGAGTAACTGTTAGCAGAGAGTACAACTGGTAAACAGTGACCCTCTACTTTGCAAGTTTAAATCAACTTTATCAATAAATCATACAATGTTTGCGTATTTGTATTCTTTAGAATGAAAGCAATTTGTGAAATGTTAAAAATACATATTTAATTGAATTTAAGAGATTCCATGTGTGACAAAATGTGCATGTGCCTACCATACGTCAAAGAGCTATCCTAAGACCTAACTACAACAATATACATTTTTAACACAAATAAAGTTATATTGTAAATATAAATATAAAACAATACATATTTTATATTTTAAGAATGCATTTATGTCCGTGGTGTCAGAACAGTGGATGAAAAGGGATTTTGTTTCGACTACTTTCATTGCAGTTGTTGACTGATCTGAGAGGTGCATGCATGGTGAGTTCATTCTTTCTTATTAATTTAATAAGAATTCATTTTATACATTTTGCAAAATGTCTGACAATTTCATGTGTCAAACTTTCAGAATCATTGCTTACATATTTTACATAAATTAATCTAAATTTTAATAAATATAGTCTTATTATTTTCAAAATATCGCGTCTTCTTGAAAATGGCCCCATTTTAGAAAAGTCTGTATTTGTGTTACTGTCTCTCTTGAGAGACATGGTGCTTATAGCACAATTTTTATTATCATAAACACTGGTATTTTGACTAGAATTATTTAAAAAATGAAAATGTCCTTACTAGATATTCTAAATATAGCATATTTAGCAAAATATATATGCATGGTATTCAATTTTATTTTAAGAAGTCTCTGTCTCCTTTGTCATTCCAAATGAAGAAACGTATCTTTAGAAAAAGTCAACTCAAAGCAAAAACACTTTTTTTTAACAAAGTGAATGTCTATTGAGAGACACGTTGAAGATTAGCACCCATACCGTTGATTTTTTTCATACAAACAAAGCCGTTTATTCAGCGCACAGTGGAATCTAGTCCGTGATACCACGAATGAACTACATTACCCAGAGATCCAGGGAGGTGACGCACGGAGGCAGATGTAGAAAGAGATCCTATTGGTCGATGCCGTGCATGCGCGCAGTCGTGTTGTTGTCAGTGGCGGCAAGATGGCGACTCTCGGAGACGCATCAGCCCCGGGGGTTAATGGGTTAATACAACAGTTCACAGCCATAACTGGTAAATATTTACATTTTGCATTCGCGGGAATTTGTGCACAGGCCATTTCGCTTGAGTAAAACACGGGGTCTTTAGAAATGCTGCATGTAGGGAAGAGGGCATCATCATTACTGCCCCCTCTGTCATACAGAGAAAAGAGACTAACGAAAGCTTCGGCTAGCTGCTATCTGCACTTGCTTTAATATGGATCTACATGCAAAAGAAAAGAAATCCGAACAGAAAGGGGGCGATCTAATGTAGACTAATTTCTAAAGTATACTGATGGCAATGTAAAACTCCCTCAGAACTTTGAACATGTGGTTGTAGCGTTACTTCTGTTATTTCACCATCGCTACATGTGTAACACCTTTAAATTCAAAACTGACTAGTGCTGCACTGATTCTCACTCAACGATTATCATTCCCACAGCTAAATTTAAATGCTACAGGTTGATTGTGTGTGACTGAATGTTTCCAGCCACCGCGAGTGTGTTGAACAACTTCGACAAGTGTGTCTGTGGATATGAGCCACAGTCCACAACATGGCGGTTTGTGTAGGCTGATTCTCAATCAGTTTGCCGTTTCTCTGTATGCTTCTCACAACTCGCGTCTAAGTCAAAGATACACACATAACTATGATGTTCTTAAAGCACTAAGACTGTTTCGTTTAACTGTCATTGGACGTGTACGCAAAGGCTGCTTTTGAGCATCGCATGATGGTGTGCATCGTTTGATAGTTTCGTTTCTGTTGGTCAGAAAATACAAGCCATGTTTCGCAGCTCTCTACTTTTTCGTTAAGGTGAAAGATGCGCTGGTTGTGCGCATGCGCGCTCTCTGAAGGGGCGGGTGTTGAGAACTGAAACGAGCGAACGCTGCTTTGCGTCTTTAACTGCACTGTTATAAAACCATAAGGGTTTGAACAAACGAGGTATTTGTATAGGTACTTAACAATGTAACATCTTAATACAGACTGCCTTACCTATATTTACCATGGTTTCCACACCACAATTATTTTAAAAGACCATAATTATACCTTAATTATTGCATTTTGCCTATTTATTAGTTTTATTTGGCATACGATCATGAAAATAATAACATGGGTCTTTTTCAAGCCAGAAACTCCCAAGCACTACCAAATACATGTACACATTATTATGCCTGATGTAATATATTGCAGGAAAAAAAATCTATATTTTTTTGGAGGGTGGGGCTTTCTCACTAGATGGATAGCAAATATATATTTTTAAATGGAAACAGACAGCTTAAGGTTAATGTTTACAAAATATGAACAAAACAAAGTTATTTCCAATTCAAATATACCACACTGTAGTGCCGTGTCTCTATTTAGTGAAAGAGCACTGCATTTATTTGTGTTTAAAACATATGATGTCACCATATAATCAAAGGAAATCCTTGTTATTTAGTGTCTGACACTGTTATTTGAAGATTTTTGTAACCGCAGTACCAGTAACGTGTTAACAGTTACATATTCACCTCTTGAAGTGCATATATGCTGTTGATATCTTTGCATGTGTGTGTGTGTGTGTGTGGGAAGCATGTAACAATAACCTAGAGATGGCCGTCACCATGTTTCTAGACGGAGGGGGCATCGCAGAGGAGCCCAGCACAAGTGCCAGTTCAGCCGGGGCGTCCAGCAGCAGACACCCCCCTGTAGAGTGAGTGACTTCATATGACACACCAAAAGCTCTTGGTCTCAAGCTGCTGTATTGTTTTTTTGAGTCACTGCATGCTCTGTGCTTTGAGTTTGAATGTTGTGTTCTCCTCTCTGGCAGAGATGATGTGCGAGCACCCATTCCTCAGAAGCAGGACATTCTGGTGGAGCCAGAGCCCTTGTTTGGAGGTACAGTTCCCATTTATACATCTTATCTCTCTAACCCAGGGGTTCCTGAACTTTTTTTGTCACCCAACCCCTTAGGTGTAAAATATTTATTTGAAGTACACCCCTGAGATTTGACTTTATTTCAATAATTTATTAACGTATTTGCATGTTCACGGTTTTCTGTTTCCAATGAATGGTCATATGACATGCAAGTACATATATAAAATATTTAATCTAAGTGTTTTATTCTAACTTTGTTAGCTAGACTTTAAGGTGGAAACTTTTTAGTTGTGATAGTGTCTCAGTTCACATTACATTTACACAGTTTTTTTTAGAAAACCAGTCAAATTGAATAATAAAAATCAACACCATCATCATAAAACAAAAATAATAATAAGTTATTATTATTATTATTACTAGGTTTTAACTCTTAATTATAAAAATGAAGACAGAAGTATATTACTGTTGTAAATTAGAAGTGTACAATTTGATAATTATAATAATTCATAAAATGTTCACTTTTAAAAGTTCAAACTGTTAAGCTTTTAACTAGTGATGCACCGAAATGATTTTTGTTTACTGAAACACAGAAACCGAAATTAAATTTTCATTTAGCCAAAAACACACACAAAAAAAAGGAAAATTGCCCAAAATGTTTATTTAATAATCAACACTCAGATCAAAACTTGAGTCATATGTAAAGATTTAACTTGTAGTAGCAAAGGGGAAGAGTATGTAGTAAGGCTGTCAAATCGATTAATCGTGATTAATCGCATCCAATATAAAAGTTTATGTTTGCATGGTATGTGTGTATATGTATATGCATATTTAAAATACACACACATAAATATATATTTAAGAAATATTTACGTGTGTGTGGGTATGTATGTATTTATGTACATTAAATATATTTCTTAAATATACAGTATACATGTATGTGTATATTTATATACACAGTACACAAACATATGTGACCCTGGACCACAAAACCAGTCAAAAGGGTACATTTTTTTAAATTGATGTTTATACATTATCTGGAAGCTGAATAAATGAGCTTTCCATTGATGTATGGTTTGTTAGGATAGGACAATATTTGGTCGAGATACAACTATTTGAAAATCTGGAATCTGAGGGTGCAAAAAAATCTAAATATTGAGAAAATCGCCTTTAAAGTTGTCCAAATTAAGTTCTTAGCAATGCATATTACTAATCAAAAATTCAGTTTTGATATATTTACGGTAGGAAATGTACAAAATATCTTCATGGAACATGATCTTTACTTAATATCCTAATGATTTTTTACATCAAATAAAATTGATAATTTTGACCCATACAATGTGTTGTTGGCTATTGCTACAAATATACCCGTGTGACTTATGACTGATTTTGTGCTCCAGGCAGGGTTTACATATATTATGTAAACACAAACTTTTATTTTGGTGATTAATCGATTTGACAGCCCTAGTATGTAGTAAGGGGAAGAGATGATCAGGTTTATGTGCGCTTCACAATGAAACACACAGCACATCAGACTATACAGATATTTAATTAAATCCAAACATTTGATAATCAAATGATAAGCTATTTGGCAATTATCATACAGCCTCAATTATGTATCAATATAATTATTTATTAGCTTTTCATTAACTCTCAAACCCCAATTTGGGAAACCCTGGTTTTGTTTACATAAACAAATAATATCTCTCTTTCACAGTACCAAAGAGGCGTAGACCAGCACGATCAATCTTTGATGGATTTCGGGATTTTCAGACAGAAACCAGTAAGTACATGTGAGGCATTCTGATGGCACACATGGTCTAGTGTTTCCTCTGAAAC